GGCCCCAGCCTCCCCACGCTCCCTCGGTGCGGGGAATGGCGGCACAGCGGCCGCTTCCTCAGCAGGAGATGCTTCGCTCGCACCCGAGACATCTCCCCCCGCCAGGCTGCGGGGCAGGGCTGCCTTCCGCCTACGGCGAGGCGATGGAACCCCCCGCTGCGGGATTCCCCCACGTCACCGGCAATTCTTTTTTTCTTTTGCGGTTTTCCTCACTTAAAGCTCTTTGCACACGGGTGTTTTACTGAGTTTTGACGCCGCGAAGCGTCTCGCAGTGACGCTACGGGCGGTGGGTGTAGCTGGGAAGCCCCTGTGACACCCATGCTTTGCCTCGACAGAGCATTTCACTTCCATCCTCTCTCCCCAGCTTGTCCGAGCCGCTGCCCCCCGACTTTGGGAATAACGCAGGAGTCTGGGGATCTGCGCTCACCAGCTCCAGCACCTCCAACAGCTCTGAATCACGATAAAGTAGTTTTTAAGAGTTACTTACGCCCCTGGAGCCCTCTTTCTCCTCTTTTTCTCCCGATTCTCCTTCCGTTCCCTCCTCTGAAAGAAACACCGCAGTCAGCGTAAAGAGAAGTAACCCAGAGTAACACCAACAATTTTACCACCGCGTTAAATGAGGGGCAGAGCACGACAGCTCTGCCGAAAATAAAGAGAGGGGCAGCTTCGTCTCGCTCCCGAGTGCGCCGTGAAGCCGCTCCACCCTCACCGTTGTCCGAGTCGGAGTTATCGGAGCCGTCCGTCTTCGCTGCCTTGCTGTCGGGTTCGTCGGAGCTGTTCGTTTGCTTCCGCTTCTTCGTGGTGAGATCTTTTTTGATCTTCTTTTTCTGGGGCTGCGAGAGAAGGGAAAAGTTAACCCAGCAATACGAGCAGGTGCCCTCCGTGGTCGTATTTTACTCATTTTTAGTGAGTTAAGCTTCCTGCATTAAGTTTCTGACAGGCAGAGTTGGTCAGGAAGGAGGTAATCCACCACAGCTCTATCCCATAATATAGCAGATTAAGCCGTGAAGGGCTGCAATATTCTCCTACCTTCTGAAAACAAAGTATTTAAGATTAAAACATCTCACGTATCACTACTGTCTTGCAACCGAGCGCAGCCTCCTCTGACTGCTTAGGAGAAAACATGCTACGAAGCCAGCAGCAGGCAGAATTTATGGGTTTTGGGGCGGATTTGGGGGTGGGTTTTGGGGCCCGTCGCTGCAGGACAGCGGGTCTGTTGGGAAAGAAGTCTCTTACTTGAGCCGAGCAGGTGGGAGGATATTGCGCAAGGACTTACTTTAAAATCCGAGTCCCACATTTTCCAGTTTCTCCTCATCCGTTGTTTCATCATTCCTCCTCCGTAACGCATATTTCCCGAGAAACCTCGCATTCCCTGGAACATGCCGAGTTCCGGGATGATGTTGTGGGAGAAGAGGGAAGGGAGCCTGGAGGAGCCATGGGGCCCCAGACCTCGGGATCCCATCGACTGCGGAGGCTCGTTCCACTGTCCGCCCATGCGCCCGGGATAGGAGGGTCTGTTATTGCGTCCGTCTCTACCCCAATTCTGACCCCGCTGGCCAAAGTTATCCCGTGCTCTGTTCTGGTACTGATCCCGCCGGTTCCCGTAGAAGTTGTCGTAGTGACCTTCGTAGGCGTTATCGTTGTCGTGTTCGGGCTCGTTGTAGTCGTAGCCGGAGCGGTACATGTCGCGGTCGTTCATCGAAGACCTCGAGTCGTAGGACTCGTACGAGTCGTACCTGCAAGAGACGCGTCGGCGAGACACCGCTGTGAAAGGGCGGCAGGGGGTCAGCGATCGAAACCCTTCGAAAGAGATTTCGGGGTTCATTTTTCAAGCAGAAGACGTGGCGCTCAACGCGGGACACGTCGCGCCGCGTGGCGGGACGGGACGTGGACCAAAAAAGAGCTGGCGAAAGCTTTGAGGTTTCAGTTCCACCTCAACGCACGGTGGAAGAACCCGAGTCCTTTAGACACGGCGAAACCCCGATGCCGGAGAACGCCTCGAACCATCTGTTTCTTCCAGAATTAGCAAAATATTTTCAAAGAATAAAAAAAAAATAACTACGCTGAGCAAAGTTCCCTCCACCAACGGAGGCTGAGGGTGTCAGTTTGTCCCCGCTCCCAAATATGTGCCTCAAAATGAGCTTCAGGAGCAGCCGAAGCGAACCAGGAGCTGCTCATCCTCACAGCAAGCTCCACCTCATCCAGAAACACTTCCCAGAACAGCGAGATTTACTCCTCGGCTACTCAAGGAGCACCTTGGCACAACCAAAGGCTGATTCCAGACCCACACTTCCTCCCTCCCCATACGCCATCCATCCATGAAGGGACTTTTCCCCAACCGGAAAGCCAACATTTAACCCCAAATGATTTAAATCCATTTTTTCCTCCTAGAAATGAGGATTTTTAGCTTCATAATTCACGATACTAAACTCTTTGTACTGGAATTCAAGGTTTTGCGTGCTCGCCGCCGGTGCTCCGAGCGACAAGGCAGGCAAGGAGGAAACCTCCAGAAAAGATCGTAACGCCAAACTAACGAGCCTTATCAAAGCGTGACGCCCCCCTCGCCGCTGCCGCTTCGCAGCGAGGCCTCGAGAGCACGGCGATAGGAAGCAGCTGGGGGAAAAGACGTTATCCCAGCTCCAAGGTCAGAAGAGAGTCACCCCGCTGACACAGGGAGAGACTCTGGGGCTACAAAACAGGGCCAGGCACCGATGGAGGAGCTGCCAGCACCCGGCTACGCAGAAGCCGCAGGGCCAGCAGCTCCTTTTCTGCTCCGTTCCAGCACAGAGCCGACATTCTCCAAGTGATTTGTCTTCCTCCGAGCGCGTTTCTCATTATTTCTCGCACGGAGTGGGAATGTTTTGGCCCTTTATTAAAGCCCATCCCATTCCCAACCGGTGCGGCGGCACCGAATGGGTGGAAACGCGCCGCAGGCAGGAGCGTGTCTACAAGCAGCCAGCTGCCAGCGCACGAAATCAAAGCAGAGAAGCCCAAAACAATGTTAGAAGGGACAAGAAGCCAGGGAACGATTCAGCAACCCCTTTCCAGCACAGTTAAAACAAGCAAGCGAACAAAAGAAATCGATTTGATGCAGTAGTACGGACGTATCTCTGCGTAGGAGAGTCAGACACTGCATATCATAGGAGCTTTACTCTTCTGGAAGAGTAGGAGTGGAGTAGGAAACAGCCACATCCCATTTCACAGAATCCCAGCATGGCGGGGGTTGGCAGGGCCCTCTGGGGTCCCCCAGCCCAGCCCCCTGCCC